AGCTAAGCAGAGTAGAGTAGGACAGGGTAGGCAGGGCAGAGTAGGGCGGATCGGAGTGGGCAGGGCGAGGGCGGAGCAAGGGCCCCGGCCAATGTCTCCCGGGCCACCAGCAGTGCACGCCTGCGCTCTGGGCCCAGATCTGGCCTCGGCCACGTCCCGGTTGTGTGGCCCAGCAGCCTATGGGATTCACCGGAGTCTCCGATCCTCGGCTACGAAAACGAACTGCCCTAACAGTTCCCAGGCCACTGCCAGATTCCCAAAGGCAGCGTACGGACAACCGGAGCCCCAGGCCCGGGCGGGGAGCTTCGGCGTGGGCAGCGGGCTCCCGTAACCCCGAGCGGAAGGCTCCCGTGGCCCGGTCCCCGCGTCCGCACCCAGCCCCTTGTTCTGTCCTGCCGCACCCACTCCCAGGCCTGCCCGCGCCGGGTGCACGTCTAACGTAGACTCAGGGAGTCCAAGCTGTAAGACGTTACGGACGGGACACAAACGTTAACCTCTCTGTGCGCGTCCTGACCACGCCCGGTTCCCCTGAAAGGAGGGCAGGGAGAAGCTGAACACGGCTCCCCCTGCAGAGGCTCGCGGGTTAGCCCCAAGGCGTCCTCAGCCCGGCGCCACGTTACCGTCTGGGTGGGGTCCACCATGGCGAGCACAAAGTTGCACGACTCCGTGGTGCAGGAACGCACGGTCTCCGTCCTCCCCTCTCGGAAGAGCCGGGTCATGGAGGCCTCGTACGTGAGGCAAAACTTGCCCATGTCCTGGGAAAGGAAGAGAACTTTCATGCGAGGCAGGGCAGGCGGACGGACTCTGATGCACAAGAAGGGACAAGGTGACGGTCAGCTTTAGCTTTCAGTCAACGTCAGTCTTCATTCACACGGGGCTGAGCAGCAGGCAGACGGAGACGTCGTTAGCTTTGCAAAGGGCTGGAGGCGGGGGAGGTCAGTTTCTGGGTAGCCCAGGTTCCGTTTCCGGGTGCAACCGATGCCATGGCACGATTTCCTGAGCTTCACGCACCCCCCCCCCGCCCCGCCACCCCAAGTGCAGACACATTTATGGGAGGAACACGGGGCAAGGAGATGTTCGGGCAAGTTATTAAAAGACACAAGGTGTTGGCAGGGAACATTCCACCATGTCTGCATGATGGTGATGATGACCCAGTTAAGAAGGGACAGGTGAGGAGTGATGTCCTCCAGAAGGAGGGCAGGTGGCCGGGGCGGGAGGGGAGACGAAGCAGAGGGGGGCGGCCGTGGTCTTGAGGTCTCATTGGGATGCTCTCATTTTTCTAGTGAACCACGAAGAAGGCTGGCCTGCCGACGGGGGAGGGAGGCGCTGAGAGCCAGAGAGAGGAGGCGCGGAACAGAGAGTGGCTGCCCGGGGGTCCGCCAGAGTCAGCCACTCAGCGCTGTGAAGGGAAGCCGGGTGACCCCAACGTGACGGAGGGGGCCCTGCGACCAGCTGACAATGTCACACAAACCCAGAGCCAGAGTCCAGGCTGAGCCTCCCGGAGCGCGGGCCGTGCCCGTGAGTGGCCTTTGGGGCTCTGTCCCTCCCCCAGTCCTGCCTGCGAAGAGACGAGGCGAGCAGGCCACGGGGTGGGGAACACAGGCCAGGAGGCCTGTGACGCTCCACCTTCGGTGGCTGGCACTTGCCCACACGGAAGGCTTCCACGCTGCCCCCCATGCTGGTGTATGTGGGGTACAGAGAAGATTAACAAGCAAACGGGGTCCGGGTGATCTTAGCAAACACGCCTTTCAGCGAACTCGCTGCCAGCTGCGGGTCCCAAGGGGCGCCAAGGGGCACGTGATCCAGCCGCGGGCAGGGAGGAGGGAAGGAAGAAAAGTAGATCCGGGCAAAGAGTGTAAATGTGGCATTTTAGTCATTTAACACAAGTTAGCTTGGGCTCCACGAGGCAACGACTTCTGTGAGGCCCACTTTCCAACATCAAACTTCAATCGTGAGTGGCCAGCACGGCCACGCAAGGTACCCACAGTTTTTTCAACGACCCCCTAAAACGTCTCGGCAAACGCATCAGGCATTAGTGCGCTCGGGGTCTCCAGCCGGGTTACGCCGGGAGCCCCACTCGACCTGCCACCCCCGGGACAGCGGCCGCTCGCCCCCCGCGGACGCCTCCGGTTTCTAATGAGCAGGACCAGAAGTCTGTGAAGACACTAACATGCACGGGGCAGGAACACAAACCTGTCACACCCTGGGTCGGCTGCCCCGGGCTCAGTGTTCAGGCTGGTGGTGGCACTCGGGGGGATTTTTCACCTCTAGCGTCTAAATGAAAAATAAACAGGACCCCAAAGCAGGAGGCAAACAGCCACAGACTAAAGACAGGACCGCTGCCCTGTGTGTTCATTCAATCAGTCATGACTCGTTTGCGGATGCTTCTTCCTTGCGGCTGCCGCGTTCCTGGCACGAGACGGGTTGTGTCCCTGCCCTCAAGGGGCAAGCGTTCTAGCGGGAGAAACGGGTGATATATATAACGTAACACGGTGACAGGTGCACCGAACAGAAGTAACGCAGGGTGACGGAAGGGCCACGGGGTGGCGGCTATTTTAAATAGGAGACGGGGGCACTTGGGCAGAGACCTCACCAACCACGCCTCTGTCTGGGAAACAGCAATTACCAGCGGAGAGCAAGTGCAAAGGCCCTGAGGTAGGGACGAGCTTGACATACTGCCAGGTAGCAAAAAGACCAGCGTGGCCAAAGCTGAGTGAATGAGTCTGAATGAGTCAATCGAGAAGGTCGGAAGGGCAGACAGGGACCAGACCAATGGTTACTAACCTTGGGAACGTGGTCACTCGGAAGGGAAAAATAGATACATTTTAGTTCCTGCCAACCTCAAGCTGAAATACGGCATTTAGAAGCACAGCCAACCAACCACACTCATCATGAACGGCCCCTGTGACTTGGAAGAGGAAATCATAGCTGTTTGCGCAACAAATTATGGTTGCTGCAGATATGCCAAAATATCATCTATGCTTATCACTACTTCAAAACTACACTAGCTTTGGACTTGCTGCTCAAAATCAAGTGCTCAATTATATCTACTGCACCGCAAGTTTACGTTTAATATTCACGTGCGTTTTAATTAACAGATTACCTTCGTAACCCTGAGTATTGCCTTTTTAAAAAAAAATTTTTTTAATGTTTATTTATTTTTGAGAGAGAGGGACAGAGGGCTAGCGGGGGAGACACAGAGAGAGGGAGACAGAATCCAAAGCAGGTTCCAGACTCTGAGCTGTCAGCGCAGAGCCCCACGCGGGGCTCGAACTCCCGAACCGCGAGATCGTGACCTGAGCCGAAGTCGGACGCTTAACCGACTGAGCCCCCCAGGCGCCCCCTGAGTATTTCTTATAACGCTTTATAGAAGTTATTCTGAGAGGGGATTTCCCCCAGGCTTTCCTGAACTGCCTACGGGGTCCAGGGCGCAGAGACGGTTCAGAGCCTGGAGCAGAACCCCAGGACACGCGGGACATCTGGAGTCACACGCAGCCACGGCGAGTTCTGAGGCTCAGAGCTGAGCAGAGGAGGGTCTCTAGGAAGAGGCTCGTCCCTAACACAGCAACTGCTTCGTGAGCGAGCACGCACGTGCGAACTTCTGAAAGTAAAGAGCCGCCTGGCATTTTTAACAGGTCATCTTAATACGCGGACCGTTCTTAATAGGTTGAGTGCGGTGTGAAAAACAGACATGGGTGGGAGGGTGGAGAATGAAATCCTGGTAACTTCCAGCCGGAGGGCAAAGAACAGCTAGAAGTACCCAAAACGAGTCATCTCTCGCTTTGAAAAAGTAATTTACACGCCCAGAAAACGCGAACACGGCACAATAGAAGAAAATGGAGGCCAACCTTCCCGGCACCGCCTGCCTGTGTCTTCCATCCATCCCTTCTAGGCTCTGCACACAATAAAGCCAGAGCCGGGAAGCGTTTTCTGTGCCGCGCAGGGAGCAAACATCACGTGTTTGTGGGCCACGTGGCCCGGCTGTCCCTCTGCAGCTCAAAACACCCGTGGACGGGACATCCAGATTAGGAGTGACTGTGCCAATAACATGTTCCCTGTGAACCCTGAAATTCCGATGGATATTTACAGGTCACGTTATCCTTCTGTTTTGTTTTTTCAATTATTAAAAACCAACACCATTCTTAGCCCAAGGGCCGAGCGAAAACAAGTCACGGACTGGATGTGGCCTGTGGGCCAAAGTCTGAAGATCACCGTAATAAATTATCAGCTTTCAAACTTTCACATGTTTTACAACCACATATTTGTTCTTTTCCCTTTCTTTTCTTTCTTTCTTTCTTTCTCTTTCTTTCTTTCTTTCTTTCTTTCTTTCTTTCTTTCTTTTTCTTTCCTTCCTTCCTTCCTTCTCCTCCTTCCTCCCTCCCCCCCTCCCTTCCTGAAAGAGAGAGAGCAGGAGAGGAACCGAGAGAGAGGGAGGGAGACAGAAAGAATCCCAAATAGGTTCCGAGCTGTCAGCACAGAGCCCAATGCGGGGCTCGATCTCACGAACCGTGAGCTCATGACCTGAGCTGAAGTCAAGAGTAGGACACTTAACCAACTGAGCCACCCAGGTGCCCCACAGCCGTGCATTTTCACAGAATATGCTAGACATCACTCGACAGTCACGTGACAGTCCATGGTACGAGAATACCGTAATCTAACAGGTTTCACCCTGATAAGCTTTCAGATTGATTCCAATTTTTACCGAGGGGTGTGCTTAAGCTGACCTTTGTGAGCCTGTCCTCAAAGGTTACAATTCGCAAGGCACAATTTGCCAGGGAAATGGTCACGCGTTCACGACACGTGTTTCCAGCTTTATGAGCCCAACTGCTGTGCACGAACGTCCCTTTCTAAATTGCCCTGCACAAACACGGAACTCAAGGAAGACCTTTGCAAATGGCACAAAGATTCAGTCTTCCTTACACTGCACTTTCTGGATTCCCGGCAAGATTAGACTGTCCACGTACATCCACTGACCGTTTGTAGCTTTCCGTTCTCGTGAACCACCCACTTCTGCTCTGACTCTGTTTTCCTACTGGGCTCTGTCTTTTCTTCCCAAATGGAACCCTCCAGCCAATTTCCCCAACTCCATTCGCTAATTAATTCATCCCCGCCCACCGATGTTAAATCCCACCTTTGCCACAGAGAACTGCGTGGCACTATCCGGAAGCAGTATGGCACCGTGACAATTACCGCGCTCTTCCAACTTCTACATCGTAGACTTCGAAAGAACAAGCGTCCGCCTCGTTACGTGTACCCTTTTCGGATCGTCCCTGGCGATTCTCAAACGTCAGCTCTTCTAGACGAACTCGAAGCTTCCCCAAATCATCTTCGGACCTCAGACTGTGTTCACACTAGGAGTGTGAACTGGGAACATTTGCCTCTATGAGGTCAAGCTTCTCTATCCCAAACCACAGCCTTGTCTCCCTTTCGGAGACCGTCTCTATCTTCTCCGTGGCTCTGCTTGGCCGTCACGGCTCGACAAGGAACATACTGGGCTTTGTAGACTCCGCAGCAGGCTCCCCTCTGAGCGTTCGTCTTAATCGTAAAAGCTTTTCTGCTGGCTCTTCCCGAGAGGATGTTGGACGGTCCCCCTGCCCAAGTATCCCGTCAGCCGCACTGACTGCGCTTACGGAAAGGAGTTCGAGGACAGCGAAGCTGCCGGCTGCATCTCACCCTTATTTTAATGGGGCGACTCACTCACCTCTTCACCTTTAAAGCCATATGCTGGCTACTGATACGTGACAGTATTGATCACGTTAAGGAAACAGTCCCTGTTATTTAGAGCTGTCGTCAGGAATGGACAGTGTTTGATGTCTTTTTAGTATCTGTCGAGGGGACTGTCTGGTTCCTCCCCTGATCTAATAATGCGATTTAATCTATTACCGGATTCGCTAAGACCGATCCGTCCCCTTGTTGCTGGGACCATAAGCTGCTGCTGGTGACTGTACTTTTCCTGTACTGGTAGATTGTATTTGCTACTATTTTATTTAGGATTTTTTTTTCTTTGCATTTGTATTCACGAGCAACGTTGGTCTTTTCTGCATCCATCCCGTTCAGGCATGGGTTTCAGAACCAGCCTGCCTGGGTCCACGTTCAGCCACGCCACTGTGAGCCGCGATGTCGGGCAAGCCAGCTCACCTGCTCATGTGTGACGCACTGATGATAAGGGTCCTGCCCAGGAACCCACCAGGCAGCTCCTCCCTTTCCGAAGCCCCTAGAATTGATGCTTGTCGTGGCCCCGCAGCTGCTTCTAAGCACAGTCACGTTTCAGGCAGCTCTCCAACTTCTGACTTTCTTAGATGTTGGTTTACTTCTGAGAGAGTGAGCGAGCACAGGAGAGGGGCAGAGAGAGGAGGGGGCAGGAGATCCAAAGAGGGCTCTGTGCTGACAGCAGACAGCCGGAGGCAGGGCTCGAACTCACAAGCCGTGAGATCATGACCTGAGCCAAAGTTGGACGCTTAACCGACTGAGCCACCCAGGCGTCCCACCCACCTCTGACTTTCCTTGGGTACTGACCTCCTTCCAGCTTCTTGCCTTATCTTGGGTCAGCTTTACTAATTTCTGTTGCTGCCGAAAACATTTCATCCAGTTGTGTTCAAATGGGTTACTGTGGAACCGCGTGTTCCCTTCGGAAAACCTCTGTATTGGAAAGCCCTGTATTTTAAAGCCCTGACACTGCATATTTATGGACAATGGGTGTTCGTCAATTTAAAAAAAAAAATCAAGCTCATTAATCCTAAGATCCAGTTACCATCTTCCAGTCACTTACTCCATCAGACAGAGAGCTCAGCTCCCCTATGGCTGTGCATCTGTCCCACTGCTTTGGGTGAGCACATTATTTGGGAAAAGAAAGCCTCAAGATGTGACCATCTCTGTTAAGGACTACAGTAGAGTCGGGGCGCCTGGGTGGCTCGGTCGGTTGAGCGTCCGACTTCGGTTCAGGTCACGATCTCGCGGTCCGTGGGTTCGAGCCCCGCGTCGGGCTCTGTGCTGACGGCTCGGAGCCTGGATCCTGCTTCGGATGCTGTGTCTCCCTCTCTCTCTGTCCCTGCCCCACTCACGCTCTGTCTCTCTCTCTCTCTCAAAGATAAATCAACGTTAAAAGAACTACAGGAAAGTCGATTTTAAGTGCAGTTTTGGCCTGTGTGTTCTAGTTTATCCGCGGTCACCATTATCCCTCGCTGTCCCGCATCTGTTTCTTTTCCTGAGTTTACCACCCGAGAGGGGGCTCCGCTCACCAGGCGTCCCATCCTGTCGGTGGCAGAGACCCTGGACTAGGATGCGTGGGCAAGACCCAGCAGGCTGTGTTCCGCGCCAGCGGCTGCCCCCCTGGGACAGGGTCTGGCCTTCCCCACCCACGGGGCAGACGGCCCTGGGCACGTTTGCGTCCAGGACCCCCCGAGGGCTCGCGACAAAATCCCAGGCTCGTACCTTGTAATGCGCCAGCTGGAGTGCGAGCTGCACAAAGGCGTCCGGGCTCGTCCGGCAGTTTTTGATGAGTCCTTTGCCGAAGGTGTGGAACGGGAAAGAATGGAAATCCACGTCGTTGGCCAGAAGGTTCGCGCAGCTCAGGGAAGTCTCGATCACCTCCTGACACTTGAGGGAAAGGAGAGAGAGGTTTTAGTTAATGGGGGAGGGCGGAGGGGTTACCGACATACCCCGAAGCCACAGGGTTGGTGCCCGAAAACACACCCCGTTTTCCTCTTGGCTCTTTCCAAAGCGTTACCCAGCAGCTGTGGTTTGTTAGCAACACGGCACCCCGCTCACTGACCAGTGGCGGGGTGGTCCCGGCAGGAGGGACGCCGGTAGGAGACGGGGGCTTCCTGGTCCGAGCGGGACCCCAAAGGCCATTTGGAACAGCCCGAGTTTTGTTTTGTGAAACCCATCGCGGCAACCGAGGAACCGGTTTAAAGCAAGAAACGGACTGTGGTACAACCACGCGACAGAAACGAGCGACCGGGCCACGGAATCACACGGAAGAACCGTAAATGCGTGTTACCAAGTGAAAGAAGCCAGCCTGAAAAGGCCACGTACGACAGGATTCCACAAACGGGACATCGTGAACAAGGCAAGATGTGGAGACCGGGCCAAGATCAGCGGTGGCCGGGGGCTGGAGGGGGGGCGGGGAGGGATGAACAGGCAGAGCACAGGTCTCTGGGCAGCGACACGACTCTTGGGATGCTGTGCTGGTGGACACAGGTCACCACGCACCCGGCTCATCAGTGATGCGTTCACCACTGAGAGTCAACCCCCACGGCGACGCTGGGCTCCGGGTGACGGTGACACGTGGGTGCAGGTTCACGGGCTGTGACGGACGCACGGCCCTGGCGGGGACGTGGGTAGTGAGGGAGGCTGTGTGCGTGTGGGGTCGGGGAAGGGGGACAGGAGGGATCTCAACGGACTTTCCGCTCAGGTCTGCTGTGAAACTAAAAAGGCTCTAAAAGTGAAATCTATGGACACGTTTTAAATAAATGCCGACCGACTTGGTCAGCTGACACGTTTCGGCAAAGGCTACCTTTCTCTGGGGAGCACACCCCAGGCCCGGGGACACAAATGCTTGGGGTACAGCACCAGATGTGGTGTTTTCTACTTCGGCAGTTATTTCTTGAGGCCCGGGAACTCCTGCTCGGACTAGAGGAACTGGAATGTGCTATTTCCACCCCTAAAATCCCTTCCCCCCAAACGCTTCCTTCCAGCGAGTGGACTGCACCTGAGAATCCTGAAGAGACAAAAATTATAAGGGCGTGATCTGGAGTACTTCAACCCTGGAGGAAGGGACTCAGTTTCCCACTTTTTCACTGTGACGTCTAGCGAGGTCCGAGCTGGAAACGTCGCCGACCATCTCCGCCGAAACCTCAAGCGGAAGAACTACCTAGCGGGGCCCCTGAGACAGCAGGAGCTGGGGCAGCCCCACGGCCCCCCGGAGACGCCCGCACAGACAAGGTTCAGTGTCCGTGGTCTTCAGCTGGGCTGGCGCACACCCACCAAGTGCGCGTGGACAGTGCGGCTGTGAGAGCTGAAGCTCGTGCCCCGCCCCGGGTGACGGATCGTTCGGACTCACTTCCTCCGGGATGTCCCACTGCAGCCGGGTGGGGTACGGAATGTTCGGGTTGGGGTCGCCCTTGCAGTGCCCGTCCTCGGCATAACCCAGCTGAAAGGAGTCAGTGGCCAGGACGTACTGTCGCAAACGAAAAGATACACATGTCAAGTGAGAGAAGATTATCGTGGCCGACGGTGTTACGTAAGACGTATCTGAAATGACATCCGACGGAGACGGATCCTTGTTCTCTACAGAGATACGATTCACACGTTAACAAGAGCCACTCCTGGGGTGTGCGGACTTCACACCCTCGGCACAGCCACCTAACGGGACCGTTCCTATCTCCACTCCAGGTGCGGGAGAAAAACGGACCCTGTGGGCTGGTCAGGATCACAGTCAGGAGTTCAAGCCCGAGGTTGGGTGTAGAGATTACCTAAAAATAAAATCTTTATGGGGCCCCGGGGTGGCTCAGTTGGGTGAGCGTCCGACTCTTGATCTCAGCTCAGGTCTCGATCTCAGGGTCATGAGTTCAAGCCCTACGTTGGAGCCTACTTAAAAAAATAATAATCATAAGCCACTCTGGAAAACAGTATGGAGGTTCCTCAAAAAACTAATAACAGAACTACCCTACGACCCAGCAATTGCACGACTAGGCATTTATCCACGGGATACAGGTGTGCTGTTTCAAAGGGACACTTGCACCCCAATGTTTATAGCAGCACGATCGACAACGGCCAAAGTATGGAAAGAGCCCGAATGTCCATCGATGGATGAATGGGTAAAGAAGATGTGGGATACACACACACACACACACACACACACACACACACACACAATGGAATATTACTCGGCAATCAAACAGAATGAAATCTTGCCATTTGCAACTACGTGGGTGGAACTGGAGGGTATTATGCTAAGTGAAGTTAGTCAGTCAAAGACAAATATCATATGACTTCGCTCATATGAGGACTTTAAGAGACGAAACAGATGAACGTCAGGGAAGGGAAACAAAAATAATATAAAAACAGGGAGGGGCACAAAACATCAGAGACTCTCAAACACAGAGAACAAACTGAGGGTTGCTCGAGGCACATTGGGTGGGGGATGGGCTAAATGGGGAAGGGTCAGTAAGGACACTTGTTGGGATGAGCACTGGGTGTCATACGTAGGGGATGGATCACTGGGCTCTACTCCTGAAATCATTATTGCGGTAGATGCTAACTAACTTGGTTGTAAATGTAAAAAAAAAAAAAAAAAAAAAAAAAAATTAAAAAAAATAATCATAAAATAAAACCTTAACAACAACGACAAAAAAGACCACACGTTGTAGGAGTCTGTTTCTATGAAATGCCCTGAACAGGCAAAATGACAGAGACAGAAAGTAGATTTGTGGTTGCCAGGGATGGGGCGGGGGGGGGGGGGGGGGGGATGAAAATATGCTAAAAGTAGGTAATGGTGAAGGCCGGACAACTACTTTGTAAAACACAAAACCCAGGGAGTTGTGTACCTTAAGGAGGTAAATTTCGTAGGACGCGTATTATATCTCCATCAACAGTAACAAAAACATTTCTTTAAAGAGGAATCCCAGCACTCAGTGAGCTCCCCAGCGGGGGAGGCAAAACACAAAGAAACAGACAAAAAACACCCGCCAAGCGTCTGAGCCGCTCTGCATCGGAGCCCCCAGAGTGTCCAACATGCTGAAATTTCAGAAATACGATGGACAGCAAAATGGATTCAACTCTGACCTGATTTGTTCTTAACTGGCTTGGCACAGTTAGGCTAGCTCTCATTCTAATTTGGCCTGGGCCTCCGAGACAAGAGAGTAGGTCAGATCCCGTCCACGCAGGGAGCCCCTGGGGCCCCCGTCCAGTCCCTGGACCCACAGGCCATTCTGTCAGCTGACGGGAACAGTTAAACGCCAGCCCTTCCATCGGGGCGCCTGGGAGGCTCAGTCGGTGGAGCGTCCGACTTTGGCTCAGGTCGCAATCTCACAGTTTGTGAGTTCGAGCCCCGCGTCAGGCTCTGTGCTGACAGCTCAGTGCCTGGAGGCTGCTCCGGATTCTGTCTCCCTTTCTCTCTGCCCCTCCCCTGCTCACGCTGTCTCTGTCTCTCTCAAAAATAAACAAACATTAAAAAAAAAGAAAATCGGAAAAAAAAAAATTACCTTGAGCGTCATCAGACCCAAGTAATACAGAATTTCTGAATCAAGGCCACTGTTGACAACCCTGGAATTTAGCAATTTCTTTAAACAAGAACTGTGATGGATGAGTTAGGTAAGCAAAACCTTCCTTGGGGGCACCAGGAGGCGCTCAGGCGGTTAAGCGACGGACTCTTGATCTCGGCTCAGGTCACGATCTCATGGTTTCATGGGTTCGAGCCCCGCATTGGGCTCTGTGCTAATGGCACAGAGCTTGGTTGGCATTCTGTCTCTCCTTCTCTCTCTCTCTCTCTCTCTCTCTCTCTCTCTCTGCCCCTCCCCTGCTTGTGCTCTGTCTCTCTCTCAAAATAAATAAATAAATTTAAAAAAAAAAGTCATTAAAAAAAAGAAAGCAAAACCTCCCTTTGGTGATTCATGCCAACAGTGAAAACAGTTCAAACGGTTCAGGGAGAAATTAATTTTTAAAAATTAAAGAAACTGGCAGGGCCAACCCAACACCACATTTTATTTATTATTTTTTTTTCTAATGTTTTCTTTATTTTTGAGAGAGAGAGAGAGAGTGTGAGCAGGGGAGGGGCAGAGAGAGAGAGGGAGAGACACCGAGTCTTAAGGAGGCTCCAGGCTCTGAGCTGTCAGTGCAGAGCCCGACACGGGGCTCGAACCCACGAACCGCGAGATCGTGACCTGAGCCGAAACCAAGGCTGAGCCACCCAGGTGCCCCATTAAATGTGTTTCTACCTAAGGAACATGAGCTGTAGGAGGCAAAGATACGAAGGGCTTCTGTTGGGCTACTGGTGACTTCCAGCGCCCACACGTGTTACGAAGCATCGTGTCATCAGACGAAAACCACACGATAGAACGTAGTCTGGGGTCTGGATTTGCAACAACTCCCACATCCCAGCCGGAGCTGCAAAGGCTCACCTCCCACAGGTGCCCGATGATGGGCGCGTCGGCCCAGGAATGTTCCGCGTTCATGCCCACCTTCCCGTTTTTGAACACGATGAACGTGAAAGACTTATCGAACCACCTGCAGGAAACAAAAATTACATGTTTTATTCTGGGTGGGCTCCTGGGCCCCCGCCCCTCGACAAGTTGCTCCTGAACCTCTGTGGACTGATGATAAGAGTGCACGTTGGACTCTGAGGCCAGTCACTTCTCTGTATCAGACACAGACGTAAGCATTTGTGCGCTGGAGACCGGCAGAATAGAACGTGTTATTCTAACGTGAACCAGCCCACAAGGCAATTGCCAAAGAGACAGGAGGCCACGTGCCCGCACACCCCCGCCCTGGGCCAAACCTTGTCCCCGGGGGCAGGGCAGGCAGGACCTTGCCTCACAGACAAGGGACAGGAGGCTCCGGGACGGTGACGATCAGCGAGCAACAGGTCAGCCCCGTCCACCTCCTTCCCCTGCCTGGTCCCAGGCACCAGCAGCCACGCCTGTCACCACTACCATGACGGGTGGTCACGCACAGAAGGGGTTAGGATCTGAAGTCTGACGCTTAAGCTGTGTGTGTGTGTGTGTGTGTGTGTGTGT